CTCGAGGGCCGTATCAAATTGTCTCGCGGGGCATATACGGCCCGGGGACCGGAGGTTCCTCACCCCTGTTTTAAGACCTCATCGCCACTTTGAGTTTTAACCGGTTACATTGGCGACACACTTCACCTCACATTTACTATATACAGTATTGATTGTCCTTCCTCCTTATCTTCCAACCATTTGGACGCAAACTTGCATTTCCCCATATTGATGTTGTTTAACAACAGACCTTCGCGCGCTAACAAGCAGTGAGTGTGCAATGTCCTGTTCAGATGAGGTCAAATCCAACAGGATGCCATAAATAAACTACAAAGAATCACACTACACACCTACGCAATGATTACATTCAGGCAGACTTTAGAATACAACCTCTTTGGACAATTTATATAGTTATTGAAAACAAGCTACAAAATGTAATACCTTGGAAAATGCCGTTTAATACTTTTTAATACTTTTTAATAGCCTTAATTTTCGCAAAATGTATTTATCAACTTTTAATACTTTTTAAGACACCCCACAGTCAAACTTAACATGTTTCAATACATCTAATTAAATCTGTTGGAAAGTCTAATAATGAATACTTGACTCACCTTGCGGGTTGAAGAAACCTGTCATCCAAAAAGCTTTTGGTCTTCCTTCAAAAACCCAGCTGTGAAATTGTTTGTTTCTTTCCAGAAGCTCTGTGTACCAGAAGCCCAGTGTGGAGGAATCCCAGGAGACTTTCCTCCACTGGTTCGGCACACGGGCATCAAAGATATTGTCCAGTGCATCACGGAGGTTCTAGGAGTCAAGTAGAGATCACTTTTACAGTAACTTACAGCCTCGTGATAATGAAAGCAAATTTATATTTTAAACAACATGTTTATAGAATATAAATTGTTGAAAAATGGTTAGAACAAAATGGAATGTACTAGGGCTGTCCCAAATACAATTTTTCGGGCTCCGGATAATTGGTAGTAATCAGCACCGAATACTCGGATATTCGGCCGGCGCGGGGGCGGTGCGTAGTAATCAGCAGCGAACCGCTTCAAGACGTGTATTTCGGTTTATTCACGGCATTCATTTTGTTATTCTACAGTATTGTTGTTTTATAGTTATTTGTTAATGAATACAGCCCAATTTGTGTTCTTTGAAATTGAAAAGGATATTGCATTGTGTTTGTTACTTTCGTTACAGTTGTATATGTCTTAAGTGTAATTATGGACATGCTTTTATTTTGAAGGAGAGTTAGCGCTGTTGACAGGAAGTTGTTGTTGCAATGGAAACAACGTGACGGAGATTAACGGAGAAAAGTCATATCTACATATAAAGACAGAGGAAGTAAACAATAATGCTTATGGTTAAGTGTTAGCACCCCCCGAAGAGGCACAAGCTCTTACGTTGATATTGGAGATTTCAACAAATTCAATTTATTGAAAAAAATAAAATAAAAATAAACTAATAACGAAATTGAAACCCGAATAGGACTCCAACGAACGAATATTCGGGTACAGCCCTAGAATGTACTGAAGTTAATATTTAAAAAGCAATCTGTATGTGAGAGTGATAAATGAGTGGTCTCACCTCGCTCATTATGATGGTACCATCAATAGCCAGCTTCAGGTCCGTCAGACTAATCCGCACCACACCGATGATCCTTTGCATTCGATCTACCTCTTGGCGTAGGAAGATGTTCATTGGGTTTAGAGCTCCCATCTTCAACAGTCTGGCTTTGACCTGAAACCAGTATAAGAATGCACAATTTGGATTTGAGTAGGTGTATTAAAGTGGAGTCTGCCACCCTAATAATAACAAATATAAGAAATCACCTCATGTGGCACATAATTGGGGGGCAGCTTCTCTAACATGTCTTCTGCCATGCTGTAAACAATGGACTCCCGAGTTGCTCCTGATCCTCCTCCGCTTTCCTTTGGCTGGATATTTGTAATTGTCTCTAGCACTTCAGCCGATGTGTTTGTCTGATATCTAGTGAGCATTAAACAAAGCAAAAATGAAATGTTATTTATCATTTATACGTTAAAATGACACAATATAGGCATCATATCCTTGTCATTTATAGTTTTAGGACAATGTATTTCTTTACGTGATATCCGCATTAGGATGCAGCCCCAAGGCCTGTGGGGAGTCCGCAGTGGGTAAGCTCTGAATACATTCAATGTACTCGTCTACTGTCTTGCACACTGGGACTTTGTAGCCCGTGTAGAAGCAAAATAATGGGTCGAACATCTTTTTACTGAACCACACCTGCAACGAAAAGAACCTGTTCATGTATAGTAACAAGACAAATAATAATCAAATGTATCAAGATGTTAAACATAAAGGAACAAAAAAATAGGATATTACTCGTGCAAAACACTGCAGTAGGCGTTTGTCATAATCATCTGTAACCCTTCCTCCATACTGCACCTCAGCTAGCATGTATCGCACAGTTACCCAGGACACATCCTGGGAGAAAGCACACAATAATAAGTGAGGGAAGATGATAAAAACATCTCTAAAAGTAACACTGCTGTTCCCGAATTCTCACCTTCCTGGGGCCACAATCATCCAAGTGTCTCTCAACAAATTCAACACTGGCAGTGAAGTCCGCAGAGTTGAACTCATAGGGTATGTTCCAACCCAATGGTCCGAATTTGCGTCGCTCCTTAGAAAGAAAGCAATAAACACATGGTTATGAATAAAAGCAGGTAAATTAGTATCAAATAATATTAGAAAGTAAAAACATTGAGTGATTGTGAAGAACATTTTTTCCTTAACTTGGAAAGACCTTTCTAAGACTTTATAACTTGTTGTGCTCCCAGCCTGAAATATGCAACGAGCTAGATATTGCCTCATTAGATCCTCTACCTCAGGGATGGGCGGACGGGGGCCGCATGAGGCCCCCACCTCCGCTTTTTGCAGCCCTCAGATCAATTTAGAAAACGTAATTAATTAAAATATATAATATATATATATTTTTTACTTGTAGTACTGATACTACGTGATTTCGTTCAGCAGCCAAATACCGCGAAATAATCTGTGACACGTTTGTGTGTATTGTGTTTTTTTCTCGGAGAAACACTCACAAGAAACACCGGCTGTTGTTATGCCTGCTGTGACATTAAGTTACTCCGTTCTCCGCTTGTAATATTCCGTTACAAGCTTCAAAGTTGTATTTATCATCTGAATTTGCCGAAACAAGTTTAATATTCTGAAAGCCAAGACTTTGTTTAATTGAAATCAGATG